CAGTAACAACAGATAGAGGTTATGACCCCATAATTGTTGACAGAGCTTTCCAGAAAATGAAAATAAACATTTCAAATAGAATACTCTGAATTAACTCCAATAAAAACATCTCAAAATAAGTTCATTAGTATACCATTTTCTCCTGAGATTTTGGAAAAAACTGCTAAAGCATCCTGATTAAAGAGTTATAAAGTAGCATTAATTTCTTAAAACAGAATTGTCAACCATTTAAAAACACTCAAAGATCCTATAAAGATGGAAGATAAAGATGGAATTTACCAAATCAGTTGTAGTTGAAGTAAAATGTACACAGGACAGATAAGAAGGAAATTAAAAATGAGACTGAAAGAACACTAGTATGACATAGAACATGGTAACACTATGTCCTCTACTTTAGCTGAACATTTCTGGAACTGTGATGGTAACTATGGCTGAAGAAATGTAAATATCTTAAGAAATGCACAAACAAATATAGAAAGGAATTTAATTGAGAGTACTTATATGACTAAAAACAGATCTGTGTGTATAAATAGAGACAATGGACCAATCAACATGTCTCATTAGAATACTTAATAATCTTAAGTAATCCCTCATTTACAATTTAATTACCTCCCCTTGTTTCCTGACCATGTTTTTAAAAATGAACTCACCCATTAATGAATATAGGCTAAGCTAACAGTGTAGATACTAGTCCTGATGATGGTAACTGTGTTACCAAAACTAGTCATCTGTAAGTCATAATAAAGATTTTACCTTTCATTGTTCCAAAAAATGTCAGTTTTGTGTTTTTTTACTCCTAATATAGTAGCACAATGTGCCTGAAAAGAAATTACTACTATTTTAGTTACTAGTACCTCATAACTTTTGAAGAGGTTAAATATAGGCCATTGTAAGACTGATTTTACACTAAGTTTACCAGTAATAATAATGACGGACTAGTTTTTTCAGAAATCATGACTTGAGTGTTATAATCCTTTAAAGTACAAAAAATTACTCATTACTCTCAATGCTACTAATGCACTGATCATAGTGGCTAGGACACATATACACATTGTCTTGAGACATTGTTTTAAGATAGGCATAAAAACTAGTTTCATCTTAGCAAGACTAAAAATTAACAAGCACAGGACTATAAAAATGTAATTCATATTCTAAAATTTAGCTCACTAGCTACCACAAACTGTATATTATAATGAAAAAGAAATAGTATCCAACGTGTTTTTAAGCAACTTATGTAAAAGATAATAATGAATTTTTTTTCACAAAATGTAGTTTTTGTTTTTCTAGAATGAAGCTAAATTCATGCAAGTTCTTAAAATAGTGAGATTTGTGGATCATTTGTAAAGATGCCTTGAAACGTTTTTTAGTATATTAAGGTTAGACATCATATCATAAAAATTCTCAGTTAATTTACAAAAGTACTTAAAAGTGATATAATTCTATAAAATCAAGAATTTTAAATTCATTTTATCATTTTGCATTACTGATGTTGTATGAATTTTAATTTGGTTTCAGGGGAAAAAAGTAGAACCACAAGGAAAAGAAAACAAGTTTGCTGATGTAGCCGGTTATTTCTTTTTCCCTTTGCTTCACTTTTATGACAGGTACAGAGATAGTTTTCTTTGAAAATGAGATATTACTAATTAATCTTTTTTTTTGCCACAGTATAAACATTTTTATGTAATTTTAATGCCTGGAAGTTTTGAATACATTAATTTCCAGAATTTGCAGCAGAGGGTTAACTCTTTTATTTACAGTTCTAAGATAATTCTGGAAATACATCTAAAATGTTTGAAGCTACTGATTTTAAGTTACTGATACTACCAGAAATAAGGTGATTTATTTTAAACAAAAATATTACAAAATCCTGAATAAAAATCACTTTCATGAAATGTTTTAAAATAAACATGTCTTCCAATACGCTAATCTTTAAGGAGTTTAGAACAAGAAACAACAGTATAAAACCTAATTCCAAAACAGTACTACCTCCTCTCATCGAAATCTATCTCGACCTTGGTTTGCCCTCTAAGCATTGCTAAGATTTCCAACAGCACACCAGTCTTTTATACCCCTTCATTTTTGCACCATTGTAGCAACGTGCTGATCATGTGACTACCCTCCACTAATCATACTGTGCCATCTATACTAATGCAGGTAGCTCTCTCTACCATTCCAGTACAATCCTCACTTTCTTGATTGGCATTCTGGTATATAGCCATGTGTTTTCACTCATTCTCCATATGACTGCCAAATTTTGATTGTGCTTGATCACATATATATATGAGTTTCAACTTCAAGTTTTGACTTGTGTTTGATTTACATTGTTTCCACTAATTTGTTTTAAAAATGTTTCTGTTTTCCAAATTCTACTTTGTTGATATGACTTCAGATTTAATATGGCAGTTGATAAAATATCTGTCATAAGTAGACAATGGTTCTGACACTAGTCCTTAGATCACAGGGTTGACAATGTTTGCTGGGGAAGTACAGGCTTTAGTTTGCAGGAAGTTCGTGTCTTATGTTAAGCTGACGATTTTTCCTTTCCTGTTATGTTTTTTATGAAGAGGAATATAACTACTATGTGGGAATTTTCTTTCTATTGGACTTTCCACCTGTTACTGCACCTCCACGTAATCTGCTGGTTTAGGTATTGTTCTTTTTTCCCAGGAGACCTGTGGTAAGTTTTTCAGTGTGTATTTCTCATTCCCTCTATGTATATCCATGTTCATTGAGTTTATGTGAGCTTGTGTGGATGGATATACTTTCCACACTCGATAATTTAGGTCATTCATGTCTTCTCTGCTCAGCATTGGGTATGTGAGATTTCTATATTTCTTTTCCCA